CTGTTGGCACCATCATGAAGATGTATACAGTATAGCACTAATTTTCTGATCTGACTGACTGACAACAGTGTTAGCCCCATAACAGATTCTTTCTGTTTGGGCTCCAGTGACACATAGCTGTTCAGCTAGTTTTTGGTAAGTATGGCGGATGTAAAAAACTCAAGGTAGTTAATTCTCTTAGCAACAACCGCTAGTTGTTGATGATGCCTTGTGTTCACCAGGTGTGCAAAGTTGCAATGATTCTGTTTGGGGGAAAATTAGAATTTACATTTGCTTTTAGCCTCAAAAAGTTTCCTGAAGTTACCAAGGCACATGCAAACTGCCCTTTGACCTCCAAATGTACTATTGTTGCTGTTGTTATGTGCCACAGAGTTGGAACTGACTCACAACTGGCCCTCTGGTGGGTTTCAGAGGCCGCACAGCACCTGTACAATCTGGACTGCCCATCTTTCTCTGCCTTTGGGCTGACCGCACAACTCCTCCATGTGCTATTAGGCCTCTTTTGCATTTTTTTTTAAACTGATTTAAGTGAAAGTTTACAAAGTTTACAGAGCAAACTAGTTTTAACTATTAATATACATTTTGGTTTATAACATTAATTACAACACTCACAATGCAGTTTCTCTAGCTCCATTTCTTTCCTGTAATTCTCATTTCCAATGGACCATTTTATTCTACTTCTTGCTGACTACAGGGCTTTATCTTTGGGCAAATGAAAACCTTTTTCTTGGATGGTTGTATATCCTAAAGAATGAGTGCCTCCCTCATATTACTGGTCACTTTGTAGGCCAGTCTGTTATTTGGCTGCAAATTTGAGTTTTGTTCTAGGTTTGAAGTGCCATAATCAGGAATATGGCACAGGATAAGGCAAGGTTCGGATTTGTTGTTTTAATTGGGTCATCATCACTATCGTTGGCTTGATGGCACCTAACAACAACAATCTCAGTGGTTCCCCCAGTCTCTACTAGATCATTAAGTCTGACTTTTTTAATGTTTTTTTCATTTTGTTCCACATTTCCCCTTCCCTCCACCCCCACCCCACCTCCAATCTATAATCTAATATGATCTCTATTAGAGTGGGCGCCATCTACTTCTGATTTCACCCTCATGGACATTGAGGCTCATATAGTCTTTTAGTCCTTTGGACTAATTGCTACAGTACATCTTTGCTTTTCTTCCCTCTTCTCTGTGCTGGACAGGGAGAGACTAATAGTTACGCCTAGGATGGTGGCTTTCAGGTTTTTACGATCTCTGTTGCTACTTACCAAAGTAGGATGTAGAATACTGTCTTTGTTAAGCCAGCTGACCTAGATGTTGCCCAAGCCTATGGTCCCAAGCTCCCCAAAGCAAAAACTAATTTCTTCAGGGTGTTTGATGTTGATTAAACATCTTACAAAGCATCGCTCCCGTCCGTGCTGCTATATCCATGAATGTATTTAGAAGGAAATACTTAGAAACGTACTATGTAAACTCTGATCATGATGTAGTTCCTTCCACCTGTGCATATCTGTTTAAATTCTTTCTAAGGCAACCTGGACTTTCCCCCTCTCCTTTTAATTATTTACAGATATGAGAGTCCTTCTATTTTCTCTATCAATAGTTTTAAGAAGGCTTTCTAAAATGCAAAGAATCTGATCTCACAGCAACGTGAAATCTATTTTTTAGTGCACATTTTCCTCTCCCATCTTTCTCCCTTCCCCAGTTTACTTTGTAATTAACTTCTTGTTCAAGATTGTTAATTGCCATACATATAATGTCTCATCATACATTCCTTTCGGAAAATCTTTTCCTTCTTCTGTTCCAGTGCAGGGATTCCTATCCTATTCTTAGCCCTACCTGTGTCAACCCCATTTTAGAACAATGATCTTATATAGTATTCCTCCTTTTGTAACTGAGATATTTTACTTAGCACAGTGTCTTCTAGACTCACCAATGTTGTGTACTGTTTTACCAGGTCACTGTTTCTCAGTGTTGCGTAATATTTCATTGTGTACCACAGGTTTTCTATGTCTCCGCTATTCTGCATCATGAAGGAACAAACATGGGTGTGCATACCTAGTCTGACCCATGGCTCTGCTTTGTTTGGAGCATATTCCCTATAGTAGGATAGCTGGGCCAAGTGGTATTTCTATTTCCAACTTTTTGAGAAAGCACTCTTTCTAAAAAAAATTATATCTTTTTAAAAAATTTCTATTTACTCTCTCTGCTTCCACCCCATTAAAGGTTCTTGTGTTAAGTCTATCTAGTTCCACCTTTCTAAAATTAAAGAAAAAAACCCAACCCAAACGAACCCACAGTCACCCAGTTAATTCTGATTTATGGCAATACTATTAGAGTAAAATAGTCCCCACAGGGTCTCTGAGGCTGTAAATTTTGGGGAAGCACACTGCCTCATCTCTCTCCTGAGGAGTGGCTGATGGGTTTCAAGCTTTCACTTTTTTGATTAGCTGCCCAATGCCTAATCTACTTCACCACAAGCTCTCCTATTTCAACCCTCAGCGTCCTTTGTTTTATCCTTTAAGTTACTGTACATGAGTCTTACTAAGATCCATATTTAACCAAGTCTTACCTTAGTTTACAATCCAGTATCTCCATTTGGCCTGAGGGATGTGGTTCAGGATCTTTGCATGGTCTCAAAGTCCTTTACCAAATGCCTGCCCTTCTCCAATCTTCCCACTCTTTGTGCCACTTGTGTTAAGTCTATCTAGTTCCACCTTTCTAAAATTAAAGAAAAAAAACCAACCCAAACAAACCCACAGTCACCCAGTTAATTCTGATTTATGGCAATACTATTAGAGTAAAATAGTCCCCACAGGGTCTCTGAAGCTGTAAATTTTGGGGAAGCACACTGCCTCATCTCTCTCCTGAGGAGTGGCTGATGGGTTTCAAGCTTTCACTTTTTTGATTAGCTGCCCAATGCCTAATCTACTTCACCACAAGCTCTCCTATTTCAACCCTCAGCGTCCTTTGTTTTATCCTTTAAGTTACTGTACATGAGTCTTACTAAGATCCATATTTAACCAAGTCTTACCTTAGTTTACAATCCAGTATCTCCATTTGGCCTGAGGGATGTGGTTCAGGATCTTTGCATGGTCTCAAAGTCCTTTACCAAATGCCTGCCCTTCTCCAATCTTCCCACTCTTTGTGCCACTTCTCATTGCAAACTTTGCTTGAAAATTAGGAGCTGCTTCAAAACTCTGAACATACCATGCCCTGATCATCACCTTCAGGACTTTGCATATGTCATTCTCTCTGCCTGGAATGTCTGTCCCTGTCTAGACTGGCACAGCACCTTCTTTTAAGCCTGGACAGCTTAGCCTTAACTGCCTCTCAAATGCTTTCCTTCACCTTACTGAGTCACATCCTATCCTGCTCTGTGTGGTTTTATCACCTGGAACATACTTCTAGTAGAATTTGTTCTTTTTTTCTGAAATGAATCTATGTGCATGAAAAATGTTAAGGGGAAGGGTCTAAAATTACTTGGTCAAGATAAGGTAATAGGTGGGTGACCAAGGTCTGAGGGAGAAGCAGGAAATGAACAGAGTCAGTAGATGGTTCACTGAATGAATGTTTGTTAACAGTTCCCACTGTGCAGGAACCAGAGGAATCACACCAAAGTAGCCAAGCTCGTGAGACTTCCAGTGAGACCAGGAAATTCTCAGCCTCAGGAGACTTCAAGTGAGGTAAGGGAGTGGCCATATTTTAGAGACTTCAAGCTTATATAACAATGGAGGGTGGAGGAAGAGAGTACGTTCCCCCCTCATCACATGGTGAGGTTTCTTCATGGTTCCTAGAGGTAAGAAAGTGCAGTCCCTAAGGTGTATGGTTCAAATTGCTCAGCTGCTCCCTGTGGGAAAGATGGACAATCTCCTCCCCATGTGATTTGCTATTTATGACGACTTCTAGAGGGTCAGCTATGAGTTGGTTCCAACTGGAAGGCATGCCACCCTCATCACAAGAATGAGGGGGTGGGTCGGCTCTTATCTTTGCAGAGTATTTTCCTCTCTTTCCTACCTTCTGCTGTCTTTTCTGCCAGTACTGCCCTGTCTTCACTATCTAAGGGCCTGGGAACCTCTAGAACCCTTTCAGGGTGCTCTTTGCCTTAATAAGTGTCTTTTCCTTGCTGGCCAGTTGCTGCATCATTTATGTCTTCTACTGTGTTCAACCTATCCCCATCCTGTAAGTGTTCCTTGGAACAGTGAAGAGACTCCTGGGATGAGTCAAGTAAAAGGGTATTTTACTACTTTTAAAATCCTGCCTAGAGCTGAGGATAAGGCTCAAATACAACAGTAGCTCAATAAGTTCATGTTTATTGAACTGAGTTTTAAGCACAGATGAAGGTCAAGCCATAGCCATCAATGCCACATGATACAAAGGGTAGAAAACAGACAAGTGTTCTTGCGTCCTAGGATAGAAGATCCCCATTTTGGAGAAGACTAAATGTATTCTTAATGAACCAGTGACAGTAACACTGACCTGGGAGAAGAGAAGCGCATGGTTAACCTTCCTGCCCCTCCTCACCTCTTGTGAACCATCAAGTTGGAACTGACTCATCATAGCTGACCTGCCAGCAGGAATCGTCCATCTTTCTCTTGCAGAGCAACTTGTCGCTGTGAACAGCAGGCCTCTGGCTTGGCAGCAAAACTCCTTCCCACTAAGCCACCCCTTGCCCTGCCTAGATCTCTAAACCTGGATATTGGAAGAGTGACTTCATCTCTCTTTGTCTTTTCAACTATTAAATGAAAGGATTGGGTTAGATGACCTCCAAGGTTTATTGTATCTCTATATGAGCATGTGTTTGATGTTCTTAGTCTTTTTTTTTAATTTTTAATTTCATTTTATTTTATTATTTTTGTGTGTGTACTGTCAATTTAGATCTGACTGATACAGAAGGAGATTGTCCCGCCTTCTCCAGCAAAGAATCTGGTGGATTTGAACCACGCACCTCTGGGATATTCTTTGTCTTTTAACACTGTTCATATACAAAACCAAAAACTTACCTTCTATCCTCATGTCTGGGGAACACAACTTTCCCAACTTTGCTCATCCTTGCCATTGCCTCCTGTTAAGTTGCAAAAAGAACAGAGTTGAAATAGAATGATTACTCCAGACTGACACTTGCCACAAACAAGCACATTCCAGTTAGAATTCTCTTCACCATAAGACGTAGTCCATACTTCCCCCCTCCAATTTATTTTCTGTTGTAATAAGGATCAAACCCAAGGAACACTTGAGGTTACATTTATGACCCCACAGCCTGGGCTTGAGTAGTTAAGTACTGAAACCTCAAGGGGTATAAGCAACCAAGAAGGCAAAGGGCTTTTGTGATTCCTCACAGAGAACAGTAGGAAGAAACGATTTCTCCTCCTCGCTGCTAGGACGTGAGGGCATGAGAAGGCGACACAATCAGCCACTGAGCTCACTGTCTACTAAAGCTTACAATAAATTAATGGAATGGAACGCACATTGTATTTGTCCTGTAGGATAAACATTCAAGACCACTTCATTTCACATTCTGATCTTTCCCCAGTGGTGTCTGAAGTTCTAAGTCCAGACGTGAGACCTCTGGGCTGAATCTAATTGACTTTAGTTGTGGAATGTGACTTCAGGACATTCTTGTCTTTACAACAGGGCTCTTGGGCAGATGAAACGTTGTGATGTCTGAGTGGATGTGATGTGGTGTGTACAGCATCAAGATCAACCATGGAAAGTCTGGGCTCCATTATACAAATGGTAGGGTTAGGTTTCCTTGGGCAATCTCCCGGGGCTTTTAGAGCCATGAGAAAGGGGAAATGGAGTGAAAGGAAATTTGGGGTCCGACAGGTCTGACTAGGGAGGATTGCAAGCAAGAGTTTGAGAAAGTTCCCCCAAATTGGCTGTTTTTAGAAACAGCTATTAAACTCATTGAGGGTTCACATAGATACAATTTCTTATCCGTATATGTGACAGATACTGTGCTAGGGATGCAGATTTACATAACACATACTCTTTGTCTTGGAGTCATTCATGTACTGATTGGGGAGAGGAAGACTGTAAATGTTTACTAACACATAGAACACAATCACTTTTGTTTATCTTAAAAATATATCCAGTTCCCACGAGCCATTCTGCCACTTTACTGTGCTCTGTATATAGTTTTGCATTACATTTCACTAATTGCCTTCTGCTGTGATGTTCTTTTTAGGTGCTGCTGAGTATGACACAACCCTACAAACATCACATCTCAAACCTGTCCTCTCCTGTGCCATCCTCATCATCTCTGATGCACTTAAGTCTGTTGTGGTCATCACTGTGTGAATCCATATGATTCAGAGTCGTCTTCTCTTTTGCTGATCCTCTACTTTTCCAAGCATGTCCCTTTCCAAAGAATAACGTCTTCTAGCAACATGCTGATAGTTATAGAAGAGGGTTTAGATCTTTTGCTCACATGATAGATTGCTAGGAGTTGTACTTGACTCAACAGCACTGAACGACAATAAGCAACAATGTGCCCCAAATATGTGACAAAGTTTCTCCATCCTTCCTCTAAGAATCACTCTGGCCACACTTTTCCTAAGATGTATCTGTTTGGTTTTTTGCCAGTTCATGGGATATTCAGTGGTGTTCTCCAATACCACAACTCAAAGGCATCAGTTCTTCTGTCAGCCACATTCATGATCCATCTCTCAGATGCATAGCAAGTGACTGAAAAGACTATGGGCCGAATCAATCACACCTTAGTCTTCAGACTGATATTATTGCTTCTCAGTAAGTTGGAGAGATTCCTGACTGTGGACTTGCCCAGTGCAATATGATCTCCTGACTTCTGGTACCAAGGGTGTTGATTGTGTATCCAAGTAAGAGGAAATTGCTGGCAATGTAAACATTAAAAAAAAATCTATCATGATGTTGCCATTGATCCAGTGATGAAGATTTTGTCTTCTTGATATTGAGATGCAGTACATATTGAAGGCCGTGATCTTTGATTCTGCAGCAAATGCCTCAAGTCTTCCTCACTTTCAGCAAGTAAGGTTGTGTCATCTGCATAGTGCAGGTTGTTGATGATCTTCATCAAATCCTGATGCTCCATTCTTCTTCACAGAGTCTAGCTTTTCAAATTGTTTTCCTACTATACATATTAAGTAGATATAGAGAAAGGATGCAACCCTGATGCACATTTATTGTTTATATGCTTATTATCAGCTCTCTCAGTTTTAATTCCCATGTCTGTTAGTCCAAATTATAATCTAACTGTCCTCTATTGTACATAGGGTTTTCGAAGGCCTGTAATTTCAGAAGTGCATGGCCAATCCTTCTTCCTAGTCTGTCTTAATTTATTAGTTTGTTGGCTCCACAGTGAACACGCTTGGTAACAGCATCCAGGAAATCAGGAGACGAATTGCATTGGGAAAGTCAGCTGTGAGGGACCTCTCAAGAGTTCTGAAATGCAACGACATCAGGCTGGAGAGTAAGGTGCCCCTGATCCAGGCTATAGTCTTTGCAATTACATGTTATGCTCAGAGAGTTGGATAGTGACTAGGGATGATAGAAAGAGGATTGATGGCTTTGAGCTGTGGTGCTGGAGAAGAGTGTTGAATATACCATGGACTGCTAGGAGCACAAACAGGTTTGTCCTGGAGAGGATGAAACCAGAATGTTCCCTAGAGTCAAGGATTCTGAAGCTTTATCTGACATACTTTGGGCATGTTTCAAGGAGGGACTGGTCCTTGGAGAGGGACATCATGATTTGGAGAGTGGAGGACGGCACAGGAGAGGAAGACCCTCGATGAGATGGATCGATTCTGTGAGTGGAGTGGTGGGATTGAATGTGTTTGAGATGGCTAGGTTGGCACAGGAGAGAATGGTATTTAGGGCTCTTGTACATAGGGTCGCTATGAGTCACAAAGAACTCGATGGCTCATAACAACAACAACAACAAACATCAGCTCTCTTCACTATGTGGCTTAAAAGAGAATACAAGCTATACAAGGGCAGACACTTTGTTTACCTTTGAATCTTAACATCTAGAATATTTATCAGACTTACTGGTAACTTTTTAAAAATATTTTTATTGGCTTTAAAATAATTCCTTTACATTTTGTTTCACTCATATACATTGTGTTTTATACAAGATGACATTGTGTAAAACACAGTGCATATAAACTTTGTAAACCATCTAATTAAAAATACCACACCACGTTACTGGTACCTTTGAGATACCATCAAGAACTACTAGCTGTCTGTCTGTTTGTGTTTATCTCTCTCTGTTTCTCCTATCTCTATGGCTCAACACACACACACACACACACACACACACACACACCATGAAGGATGGGCAGTTTGTTTTCATTTAGTTGACTGACTCATGATGACTTCATGAACAACAGAACAAAACCTTGTCTGGACCCATTAGCAAAATGTGCAGAAGATATGAAAAGATTTTTCATCAAAGAAGACATCCAGATTGCAAAAAAAAAAAAACAAAAAAAAACCCCACACATAAAGAAATGTTCAAGGTCACTAGCTAATAGAGAGAGGCACATCAGTCACAATGTCAAAAACCAGTGAGGTATCACCTCACTCCAGCAACAACAGTAAAGTTCAGTAAGTCAACAGCAAATGCTGAAGGTATGTGATGAGACTAGAACTCTTATATATTGCTGGTAGGAACATAAAATCATGCAACTGCTATGGAAAGCACCCTGGTATTTCTATTAAAATGTGTATATTTCCAATGAAATATCACTTGAACCAGCTAGTCCATCACCAGGTATTCTAAAGAAATAAAAGCGGTGACTTTAACAGATACCCGTGTTTATTGCAGCATCAATCACAATAGCACAGAGTTAGAAACAACTCACGTGCCCATCAACAAATGAATGGGTAGAAAACCTCTGATACATCCACACACTGGAGTACTGAGCAACTTTAAAGATAAGTGAAGAATATGTGAAGCATTGCATAGCATGGATGGACCCAGAGGACATTAGGCTAAGTGAAAGGAGTTAGTGTTATAAAGACAAATATTAAAAAAGATTAATATTCTAAAAAACTAAAGAAATATTTATACATAGGGAATAGAAAATGAATTCATAGATGAGAAATACTTATTGCTATGGGTGAAATGGAAGTTTGGTTGCATTCTCTGTAAGAGTTGCACTGCTAATTCATAGGCGGCACCTCTGGCGGTTCAAATCGACCAGGACCTTCTCGGGAGAAAGAGGAGCGGTGTCTTCCCATACAATATACAGTCTCCACAAACCCACCGGAGGGCCAGCTCTGAGTTGGTTCTGCCTCAACAGCATTATGTAAGCTCAGTTGAGCTGAATGTGGGTGAAGTCAAAGGCAGTGCAGAATAAATGGATGGCCGGACACTGTGGATATTATAGCGTGAGTGACTGACAAAAACCAATATGCTTTGTAAACTCACACTCAAATAACAAGAAAAACCAAATAAACCCCAAACCCCTTGCCTGCAGCAGCTTCTTGATTGCTGGTATGCTCAAGTTCATTGTTACAGCCACTGTGTGTTTTGTGTTTCAACTTAGAATGCTCATCTTCCAACATTATTATCAGACGATTCTGTTGTGATCTGCTAGGCTTTTGGAAGTAGATCAACGGGTCTTTCTGCCTAGTCTGTCTTAGTTTGGAAACCTTACTGAAACCTCTCCACCCTCAGTGACACCATTTGGAAATGAGAACACAAGTAGCACATAGCTCCAGAATCATAGCAACATGCAAACCATCGTGGTATAAAAATTTGGCAGACGAGCGGTGAGATTAAAATCCAGTGAGATAAGGACTCTGTCAGGGACACAAACTTCTTTCCTGTGGTTTTACATGGGTTAAGAAATGTGATACATTTCTCATCTGCTAATCAGTTATGCTAATTTTCACTCTGGCTGGGCTGCTCTATCAACACATCCCTCAAAAATTGCATGAACATTTAGAATGAGTTATCTGGTGTCCTGGCCCGAAATGGATTTGAAAGTGCTGATTGGAAGATCTGAGATGCTGAGAGTAGCAAATCCACTGACTACACAAAGAAACGGCAACCTTATACAGGGAGAAGATTTGAAACAT